ACAATCAAAGCATGCCTTCTAGAACACAGTCTAGGTAATAACTTCTGGTCTTAGGAAAGACATACCCAAATATAAAGAGACTACTCTAATGATACTCTCTGTGAGAGTTCCTCATAGAGTCTCTTTATGGGTTCGTTCAGTGCGAGCTATACCCTTATAGGTCCACCCACGACTTTAGCTAAGACATCTCCATATCTGTAGCACATGAGGTCTATACCTTGTATCCATATACAAATAGATAAGTCGTGCTAGTCTTACCCGAGATTACTGACCCCATTCTCAGTATCTCTAGACTAGGAACATAAAATTAGGAATAAACATCCGGTATTCTTGAATCCTCATGATTGTGATCTCATCACAGATACTCAAGAGATACCTATTTTATTCCACGGGGTTTATCAAGTTATTCATAATAAATTAATATTAATATCGAGACAAAATTATGAAACAAGATAAAGAGTGCTTTTATTTATTTGCGACAATATTAAAAAGGTCTACATCTATGTCCTTATTTAATCATAAAATTGTCTCTAGGACACCCAAATACTAACAAAAAATTGAAGAAAAATGAAGCGTTAATTAAAGAATGGCCTCTAGCTTCAAAAAAAAAACAATGTAATTGTTTCCTATCGAAAAACTATCTTCCAAATTAAGAAATCAGAATGAACAAATATGAGTTGATAGAGAAATTTGAGTAGCTAAGCTAAATATGAGAACAATTAATCATACCAGTATCTTGAACATTAATCTCTTATTTCTTCACAAAATAAATTGAAGAAAAATGAAGCGTTAACTGAAGAATGGCATCTAACTTCAAAAAAAATGTCCTTTTTTCTATCCAAAATTTATCTTCCAAATTAAGAAATCAAAATGAGAAGATTTCCTGTGTCCAACAAGGTGTCTCTAACTTCAGCATAAAAACTATTTCAAATTTTTTTTGCTTATGTGTCAGTTTACTATATTAATAATATAGAAATAATATAAACAATTCACCCAATAAAGCACAGAGCAATGAATATGGAAGATCAACAAACATGAAGTAGAAAATTATAAACGCACAAATAATGGGTAAAATTATGTAGAAGAGTAACTTGAGAAAATGAAGAAGATAAATAGATATAAACAGAAGAAATATGTGCAAATAGGCAGTAACACATATCCTATTTATACACAAACTAAAGAGGTATTTGGAATGACTGGCTTGGAAACCGTATGCCTCATGATTTTTCAATCTAGACATTCATGATTGGCTTTATAAGAACGTGAATAATTATTGGAATTTGCAGGCATTTTCATATTTGAGAGATATTTTCTTCACCACATGTTGGTATTTGTTGACCTGGCGTAATCAAAGTATGCATGATGAAAACCTCTGTAGGCCACAAAAAGGTAAGACTATGATTTCAGACTTTATCTCTCACATAGATGTAGCTAAGAAGATGACAAAAAGTACTATTGGAAATATAGCCACACTCCATCAATCTAGCCACTAGCAACGTCCTCGTCTAGGGTGGTTGAAGATCAACACAAATGGAGCTTCGTCTTCCTCAAGGAAGGAAGCTAGTTGTGGTGGGCTCATCAAAGATCACAATGGAGACTTTCTAGGAGGATTTGCGCTTGGCATTGGGTATTGTAATCCTTTAGATGTAGAGCTCTGGGGGATTCTTAAAGATCTGGAGTTTGCTTGGGGAATGGGTGCAAAGAGAGTAGAGTTGGAATGTGATGCGGTGAATGCTATTTCTATAATACAGGACACTCAAAACAATCTCAAACATTCCCAGGTTGTTTTCCATATTCAGAAATGGCTTTTCAATGGATTGGATTGTGATATGCAGTCATACTGAGAGGGAGAACAATATTTGTGCCCATTGGCTAGCAACGACACCTCTTGATGGTCAGAGGAATCTTAGTTTTATTCACAACCCCCTTCCCTACTTTTGGAGCTCCTGACTAAGGAAATTTTTCATTGTCAATCTTTATCTACTATTTTGTAGTTGTTTCTTTTGGGGCTTTGCCCCTCCTTCTTTACAAAAAAAGGGAGGTTTTTGAGCTTATTTTTGTATTAAAATAATCTTTGATTCATTTGTAGGCCTAAAAAATTAATTAATCCCAATAGACGTAATAATAAATATTATTAATATGCTTAACAGTTTCTGATACAGAAAATAGTGGTACATTAATATGCTTAACAATTACTCATGCATAAAGTAGTAGATATTAATGTAGTTGTTTGCCACCAAAAAATTTAAACTCTTTTCTCACCTATGAAGCTTAAATTTCTAATTTGAATTTAAATAATTACTAAAAGAGGAAGTGTAACATCTCGGGCGCTGACGAGGGCGGGGAGTGATCGCCGATGCGAAAGGGCATGGTGCGAAAGGGCACAAACAAGGAGCGGCTCCTGGCAGACTTCTAGGGACGGGGGTACATGAATGAATCGAATCAACACCCGAAAGAGAGGGATTTCAGAGACTGTGCTGGTATGGGACGGTAAAGTTGGGAATAACTTATAAGAATTAATTGGTACTACCTATACTAACAAGATGTATCTACTTTTCAGTAGCCCGGAACGGAAGAACTCCATAGTTAAGCGTGCTTGACTTGGAGCAATTCTGGGATGGGTGACCTCCTGGGAAGTTTTCCCGGGAAGTGTGCGAGTGAGGACAAAGCACGCTGAAAAGTCCCGTGTTAGTGTGTGGGGACAGTAGTTGATCCTTGCAAGTTGTCAGGCGTTACAAGTGATATCAGAGCAGGGCCTCTCTTCCAATACGGTGTGGTTCGAGGACGAACCAGGCGGAAGCTGGTGGGCATGTAACATCCCGGGCGCTGACGAGGGCGGGGGGTGATCACCGGTGCAAAAGGGCATGTGCGAAAGGGCACAAACAAGGAGCGGCTCCTGGCAGGCTTCTAGGGACGGGGGTACATGAATGAATCGAATCAACACCCGAAAGAGAGGGATAGGGATTTCAGAGACTGTGCTGGTTGGGAATAACTTATAAGAATTAATTGGTACTACCTATACTAACAAGATGCATCTACTTTTCGGTAGCCCGGAAAGGAAGAACTCCATAGTTAAGCGTGCTTGACTTGGAGCAATTCTGGGATGGGTGACCTCCTGGGAAGTTTTCCCGGGAAGTGGTGAGGACAAAGCACGCTGAAAAGTCTCGTGTTAGTGTGTGGGGACAGTCGTTGATCCTTGCAAGTTGTCAGACGTTACAATGTTATCTATTAGTTTATAACAATGTTATACTTATACCGATATTAATTACCTCTTTGAGGCAAGTCAGTCCCCGATATCCCTATAAGTTTCAACTATTTGAACCGGCTATGAGACTAATCTCGAGTCATAATTTGATCATAGTTAAAGTTCCTCATTCCTCCCGATATATTTGGTGAAAATCAAACTCAAATTTTCTCCACATAAAAATGAAAGATACATTTTAAGAGTAAGTGGCTCCCTACCATAATTCACGAGTGTTAAAGAGTATTTAGAGCCACTGGGTGCAAGTTTTCCTTAATTTCCGTCCACGCAATATTGTAGCAATTATTGTAGCTATATAACTCAGTTAAACATGACACTAATGTTTGTAGAGCTTTTTAACAGTCATGCAAATTCAGACATATTCCTATGCCTAATAACATATTAGAATTTGTTTAAGCTCAGATCTATAGGTTATATGGGACAAATTCAATCCTATATAGCCTATCTCAAAGTTGATTAATTCCTTAACCACTTACATTATTTTGTACAGGTCTAATTAAAATTCCTTTTCGGTAAATCTCAATCACAACATTGCCAAGAATGATATATGTAAATTAGCAACATAAAGAAATGAAAATGATATAAAACAACTAACATTATATAAAACAGTATTTAGCTACAGATTACGTGTTCATTACATCAATGTGTACTTCCCTTCCCCAAATTAAGATAATACTTATGTCATATTCATCAAATGAGCATAAAAAACAGAGTACATAATTTGTTCCATACAAAACGAAAAAAATAAAAAAATAAAAATGATTGCTACATAAAATTGTTTAGTGGGACAAATTATCTTTACAAACTTTTTGTTTACAAATTCTTACAAACTTAACTATGTACTAAGAGTAGTATATGAGTTAGTTTATGTATTACTCTCAATACATAGTAAAGTTTGTAAATAAAAAATTTGTAAATACAACGTTAATCTTATTTAGTAATGGCTTTTCTTCTTTTATATTTTTGCCTCTTCAATCACGGTCTTTCATCCACTCCATGCATCCTTCGGTAAAATCCTTCAATGACAAGCAAAAACAGCATCGACTCTTCAAATTTTCAGCAGAATAAAATTAAAACCGAAATTAAACACCAGCAGTTACATAATGTGGTAAATTATGTAGAAAAATAGTAAAAAAATAAATAAAATAAAATAAAATACATTGCCTATGATGAATTGCATTATCTTAATTTGTACGTAAACCATTTGAGATAGTTACAAGGAGACTCAACAATTCTAACAGTAAAGTAACTAAACTAAATCTGACCAACTGAAGTGAACAGACTTAACTAACCATACTTGCACAATAATATTTATGCAGCAAATGGGCTTGCTGAGAGAACATCAATACAAATGTACATTTTTCCCTTACAATGAAATAAGGGTAAATCAAACAAAGATGACAAAAATGGGGATTAAGATTCTGATAAAGATGATAAGTGAAAACAAACAATTTTGTAAATATCAATTTTTGAAAAGCACTCAAATAGAAATTACTCCTTAACTATTGAATCTTTATACTTTTTTTTTTTTTTTTTTGAAAACATGAATCTTTATACCTTAGTATGCAGGCTGGAAAACTTACTCAAGATCAGAATTCACGTTCTCTTACATCACAAATTAAAGGTAGAAAATAACCAATTGATCTTTGTGAAAGTCACCCAAAGATTTCAAGTGGAAGCAGAAGACTTCTCACTCCATTAAACAGAAGATGCAAGCAAAGAATCTCCTATTTTTCAGCCTTTGGATATTATGAAATGCTTAGTCTGCCTTTGAAATCTGTATATTCACCAACAACATAACATAGCATATTGAAGATTTTATGGTGTCACAAATTAAAACCACAAATATAGGAATTCTGATTAGTAATATATTACATACCTCTATTGAAAATCTTTCTTATAGTAGTATTAATGTCACCTTCCCAGCACCACTGATCTCCTTTCTCAGTCAAACATATTCTTCTGAGGATTGATGACCTTAAGATTCCCTGAGAGAAAGTCTCCATTGCTGGACATTCAACCACATATAATTTATTCAACAGTGGAAATCTGAAGTTGTGATTTCCGGTACAAAAGCATCCAAGTTCTGGCAAATTCAAAAGTTTTAAGGATACTAATTTTGGAAAAACAAGTCCAAGAGCTGCCTCTACCCCTCCTTGATCATTTGCAACAATTTCTTCTACCCCACAATCACTTATCTCAAGGAATTGGAGTTGCACAAGATCTTTGGCCACAGAGAGTGGAAAGACATGTTTTAAGTTTTCACATTTAGTGGCTTTCACCATAAACAGGTTTTGAAACCTGATACTTCCTTCAGGATCCTTATTCCACAAATGCTTTAGCTTTGGTAAATGACCCAAAGACAAAGTTCTCAGTGGAATGTTCAGCTCTCCCTCACTTCTACCTCCAGTGTTTATACCATCATCTATTTCATATACAACTTTCAGTGCAATACAGTACCATATATCCAATGATTCCAGGCTTTGAAATTTGTTTAGCACATGACATGGGAACACATGCAAGAGATTGTCACAGGATGTGATTTCCATTTTTTTCAATTTGCCAAATGAATTTTGAGTGAGTTCGTCGGGCCATATTGACTCCAACTTGTCCATGTGAGAAATCACAAATGTCTCCAAGTTGGGAAAAAATGGAACCTATATCACAGGGTTGATAACATACTTCAGACTTCACAATATAATAAAAAGACAAACAATTAACAAGGAAAAATTAGAAGAACTGAAAAAGAAAAACTCGAAGCAAATTTAAAAATTCTCACCACTTCAGTAGGAAAAGATTTCCTAGCATGAGGAAGGTTACCCATGTTTTCATCAGGGACAATTATCTTCTCTACCAATTTGCATGAACGAATCAAAAGATGTTCAAGCTTGACAAGTTTTCCAGCCATGGTGTATGAGAAAAGATGTGTCAACCTTTCACAACCATCTACAGTCAAAGTGGTCAAATTTTCAAAGCAAGAATTTGCTGAAAGTTGGTCACCCCATATCTTCTGGATATTCATTGAGTAGAGCCTCAAGGTCTCCAAATTTGGAAATTCAACCTATCAACATTATCATAGTTTGATAATCACTAACAAAAGAAGGCCGTGCATTTCTTTTCTAACCAACTAGTAAAAATGACCCAATAAAAGCAGGTGGCAAGAAAACACTCATGTTACGAAAATAATTGTCAACACCAACATCATCAACAATACTTTTATCCCAAACTAGTTGGGGTTGGTGGCAGATAAATCAAAATGAAAAGTATGAAAAGATTGTGGAAAAAAGGACAATAATTGCGTTTTCTCTAAAAAAAATACAGTATGTTATGTAACAGTAAGTATAGAAAATATAGAAAATAAAATTTTCAAGTGCACTGAATTTGATGAGCGTAAGATGTTCAAGTTTAGAGTTTAATAAATAACAGTAAGTAATGTTTGTACCTTATCATGAAAAAGTTGACTGAAGAAACCATTGTTGTTTTCAGTACTCATAATACATGGCTCAGGTGAGAGACCAACAAGTGAAGGTAAGCATTCTAGTACGAGAGAACGCATCTTGGGGAACTTGATCTTGTAAGTTTCTCCACCATCCTTTTGTCTTTGCTCGGTTATGATATTGGTTATCAATTTGCATTCAGAAATCTCAATTTCAAGAAGTTCAGAAAGCTGTTTAACCATGGAATGGAAGAAAACAAACTCCATCTTATCACAACCCTTTATTTTGATAACTTGTAGTCTGGTAAAGGCCTGTGCTGGAAGTGAACCACTGCAAATTTTCTCCATGTTAATCAGATTGTGAAGGATCAAAGACTCCAAGAAGGGAAAGGCATGATCATGATGAGCCCACTCAGTTGAGCCAATGATGCTTTGCATTTCATCACAGTTTTGTATATTAAGATGCTTCAATCGTGAAAATCCTTCATCATTCAACTCATAAAGTACTTCCCTAACACCCTTCAGTTCAGCTAAATACAACTCCTCAGCAATGGTCATCAACATCTTCATCCCATAATCCAAAAGAATGCTTGGATCCATGCTTAAATTGAGCTTAAGAACTTTTGAAGTTTTGTAATTCTCAGACTCCACCTCAGTCCATTTCCATTTATCACCAATCAAAATCTTGTAGCTTTCTAGTCTCCCAAAGGAAAGCAAGTCTCTTGGAAAAACTGAAGTATCCTTTATCTGCATATTCAAAGTTGTTAGTTGATGCAAATGCCTTAACTCACCGAGAATTGAATTATTGCTTTGGTTTTCACTTCCATTGACCTCCCATTGAATATTGCAGTTCCCCATATAAAGCTCTTCCAAGCTTGACAAGCTTGATATCAGGTTGCTAGGAATCACTCCTAGTGCAGAGCAATCAGTCAAATCTAGCAACCTTAGATGAAATATTTGTCCTATTTCTGCAGGGAGCTCCCTAAACTCAGATTTTTCAAGGTTGAGAATCTCTAACCTTTTGATTTCTCCAACAACAGCTATGTCTTCCAACATGCATTTACACAGATTCAATGCTTGGAGATTTGTCAAGAGACCAAGAGATGTAGGAAGGGATGGACTACAATTCATACCTCCTAAACTTAGCACCTTCAGTTCTCTCATCTCAACAAAGAAATTATCAGGAATTTTCAAGGAGTTACCTTCACTGTTGAGTTGGAGTATCTTCAACCTGGGACAGTCTAACTTCTCAGGAAGTTCATGGATAAAACACCAATCCAAAAAAATATGATGACAAGTTTTAAAGAGATCAGTGTTTGGCCATTCTTTCAATTTAGTGTTTCTCTGCATAGTAAAGAAAGGTTGTACCTTGGTTGCAATCGAGCCAGCCACATTCCGAACAAGGTCAAGCGCCACAACCGAATCTCTTTCCCCTTCAAGTAACAAACACGCAGCTCTCAGGTTGTCTATCAATTTGTGAAGTCTGTTTCTTCCATCTGCCAATTTATCAACATGTTTATACAAACCCAAACACCATCCAAATACCAACAAATCTTTGCTACTATAACCATTTCCCATTGAACCCAAGAGGAGGAAGAATATTTTGAGTTCTAGGCTTTCTAACCAATTATAACTCATCTCAATAGCAGAATGAACTTGAGAATAAAAACATGCATCAAATTCAAAATTTGTTATCTGCTCTAGTGCATCCTTCCAAGTGTATAGATCCTTATTCTTTAATGCCTCCACCATTGTTACTATCAAAAGGGGCAAACCACCACAGCTTTTGGCTACTTTCATGGCTATGGGCTGAATGCTAAGTTCTTTAACAGCATCCCCTCCCCTAGTTTCAAATAATCTCCAACTCTCATTCTCAGACAAAACTTCAAGTCTATAAACCTTTTGTGCACCCAAGTTAGCATTCAACACATTAAGATCTCTTGATGTCACAAATAATTTGCAGCCTTCATGATCCTCACCAAAAGGAACACCAACCTCAGTCAAGTCAAGCTTCCCCCAAACATCATCCAATATGACAAGAATCCTCTCCTCCTGCCTAATCCTCTGGCGCAACCGGTTCGCTCGTCCCAACTCAGTTTGTTCATCAAAATTCAGACCCAACACATCAGCAATTTCAGCTCTAATTGTTCTAACATCTGGAGAATTGGTCACAGTAGCCATAGCCACTACATCAAATGAACCATCCTTCTCAGCTTGCCATGCTAGTTCTTTCACTAATGCAGTCTTACCAACCCCAGCCATACCATAAACTCCAATCACATGAACCTTAGCATCCTTCAACACCTGCATGATTTCATTCAACATTGTTGTTCTAGATTCCAATGCTTCATATCCTCTAGCAGCTGAACTCACATTACATTTCAAAGCACAACGGTAAGAAACCCTGTCAAATGTTTCTTGTCTGAGTTTACCAAGAAGTTCAACCAAGTTCCTTGCTCTCTGACTCAACATGTATTTTGAGTATAAGTCTAAGCATCCAACTCTTTCTTTGTCTTCATTATGAAGGAATGCTTGTGCCTCTTCTAGAGCTGCATGAACTCTAGAAAACCAGTCACGAACAGTGTCTTCAATCTCTTCACCACTCCTTTTGGCAGCTTCAACAGTGTGCCTCACTTCTTTTTCTGCTCTCTGCAGCTTATGAATCTGGGTTTCAAGGTCTGTGAGGTAACTGTTGTACATCAATACATAAGTGAGTTGTCGTAGGAAAGGTGCAGCCACATTTGTTGCTATGCTAGCAATAGCATCCATCCTCGTTATGCTTCTTGATTATGGACCCTGATCTGCAAAATGATGGAACCAAAATAAGAAAAAGAGTTAGTGCTGGGTTTGGCTTGCAACAACAGCATTCATTGTTCTGTTTCTTGATCTGATCGTAAAACAATGGAACAAAAATAAGAATTTTAATGTATAGTATATAGTTCAGGTGCATGACATCGTTCTCTAAACTAGTAACATAAACTAATAGTAAGAAATTTTTTTCTTGAAATGCATTCTTTTTAAAATTAAATAGACACTATCTATTAAATACATTGAATTATATTCTCTCTCTCTCATGCAATAAAAATAAAAGTTAGGATGGCAAAAAGTGTCATGGCGCATAGATTGAATTGTTGACACGACACGTCAAAACACAGATCTTGTCAACTTGTGAGCTCAAACCAGTCATATTTGGGTTTGGAAAAATGACACAATTATTATTGTGTTGTGTCAGCATGCATGTAAAAAAATTAAAAAATTAAAAAGTTGAAATTTGGTGATTTTGACACAACGGGTCATGGGGTCAATCCACGTATTTCATTTAGATTTTCTTGTCATTTTCAAGTTTCTTTAAATAAATTTTTTAATTTTTACATATCCACCAGTGTGATTTGCTACCCGCGACGGGTCGTGTTCGGGTTTAAATTTTTTACCCATAGGGTTGGACGATTATACCAGCAGATCAAACCTTAACACAACACAAACTCAACCTACCATTTTGTCACTCCTAATCAAGGAAGCACGAACACTCCAAAAAATAGGAAGTGTCGTGTCCGACACGCCGACACGTTCCGACAAAGTGTCCGACACGCGGTCAACATTACCGACACGTTGACCATTTCGACACGCGAATTTGACTTTGTCCGACACAGTTCCGACACGCTCAAATGGCATTTTCGTAAAATTATAATATTCTTTTTAAAAAAATTATTTTTTTAAAAAATTAAAATATATTAATAAAGCTTCCACCTCATCATATCAATTTTTTTTTCATTTTTTTCCTTAAGTAGATAAGAGATCATCTCAGCACCATCGATGTCATTTCTGTTATGCTCTTTCTGTGTCTCCTTCTCTCTGATGTCTCTCTAATCTGATTTGATTTCTCTCTCTCTCTGATATTATCTCTCTCTCTCATCCTAGTTCCTTTTTTTTATTAAAGCTTCCACCTTTATAACATGTTGATGGGTATTATTAATTTAGTTTCATTTTTTTTAAAATTATTGAATACTAAATGAAATACACGCTATATAAATTAAAAATATTATTTAATATTAAAGCGTGTCCCAACGTGTCGAAATCCATTTTTTTTAAGATTGACATGTCGGAGTGTCGTGTCGTGTCACGTGTCGTATCGGTGCTACTTAGTTCCACTGGCGGACCGAGGTGAGCGCATATGTCCGCAAGTGCGGACATAAAATTTTGGATTTTAGTTTTTTTTTTGTAGCCATGTAGGTCTTTATTTGTCTCTTGGTTCAATATTTATATTAAGAGTAAATATCATTTTAAGTCTCTAATAAAAAACATGGTCCCCACTTTAGTCCCTTACCAAAAATTAGTATCGAGGAGCTCCCTAAGAAATTCAAAGTAGATCAATTTAGTTAACATCACAAATTCAAAAAAAATCTACATTAGTCCCTCAAAAAGACTAAAATAGGTCCACTTAAAATTTTATAGGGACCAGGTGACTTTTTTTTTATAATGGACTAAAGTGGAGACTGAATTTTTTGTTAGGGATCAAAAAGGATATTTATTCTTATATTAGTTAGCGACGTAGCAACATACGGAGATGATTAAAACAACGTAGCAACGCAAATTGGTTAGAAAGAAAACTTATTCTTCCTCTCCTGTCACGTACCCATTCTCATGATTTCTTCATCTTTTGTTATGGAAGCAACTAGATTATGAGCGGGTTCAAGCGTTAATTATAACACCTCACATTTCTAAAGTTGAAATATTAATATATTAAATGAGTAATTAAGTGAAGGATTAGTGAAAATCCTACAGATTAGGCCAAAATACAAAGAAAGGGCAAAACGATAATTAGCCAACACGCAACCCTAGGAAGATAAAAACTGAGTAGAAGGTCTCAGATGGTAAAAATAACCCTGGAAATGGATTCAGAACGAAAAATTGAGTGGTTAGGCAAATTTCAGAAAAATTAGTGAATAGTGTTTTTACTAGGTAAAATACTGCGGTACGATTGCACCGTAAAACGTGCTGATTGTGTTTGGAGCTCTAGGTTTGAAAATAAGTTATAGATGATTCATAGAGCTAGGAAATATAATCTCTGATGAAATTTGATGGAAATAAGTTAGTTTGGGAAGCGTGCCAACGGCACGCGCAACAGCTTAAAACATCATTTTCCCCGAACGACCGGAAAACTCAGGATTCATCTGATCAAGTATAATTAAAGAAGAATGGTTAATGTTAAAAATTAGAGTTTCTAAATAGGTTTTGAATTTGTGGACGTTTAGTGAAATCGGAGGAAAATTCGGATTAGTTTTAAATTGCGTGAGGTGGCGGTGGGACCCACCCCACTCAAATCCACTTAAGACACATCACCTCCCTTCATTATTCATCATCTTCTCTCCCCCCATCCTTGCAAACCTGCGGCCCCTTCACCCAAAAACACCATCTTTGCTTCAAATCTTCATGTCACCATAACTTGATCATTTCTACACCAAATCCATCGATTTTTGTCTTGAAACTTGATGCAAAACACCTTCTAAATCCATTGGTAGTACTCTTAAGCTTTGAAACCGTCTCTTGGGGGAGATATAGGCCAAATTCAGTTGCGAATTTGTTGAGAAAAATTGATGTTCATGGAGTCGTTTGGCCTTCCATTGCTTGGATAAGTCTTGGAGGAGTATCAAGCCTTGATTGTGAGTATGTTTCTACATCATTTCCATGGTTTATTTGTAGATCATATTTATGAACTCTAGACCTTGAATTGTTGGTGTGTGATGTTAGAGAGCTCAAATGGAAAATGTGTATTAGATGATAATGTCTTAGAATGATGTGTTAGAGCTAGAAATGCCATGAAAATTATTAGTGAAAAGTATGATTTTGTAACTTAGAAAAACTTGAGGTGTCATGACTTTTAGTTTTGAAAATGTGAAAGGATTGGATTGGTGAGTTGTTGTATGATTGTATGTTGATATAATGGAATTGTATGAGGTGTAGAGTGGTTAAAATTGAATGAAAACCCTTTGGAATTGCCTAGGTGACAATTCGGCCATGTAGGGAATTTTAGGGGTTTGATGTTGTTGGGATGGCTTGGATGATGTATCATGTGATGAATGGTATTTAGATGGGTTGTGTGGTGGTTTGAAGGTTGAAGGATCAATGAAAAATAATTGAGGGTGTTAAATGCCATAAAGGATCCTAGAGTAAAATATTAGGCAAAACGTTGTTAAAAAGACGTAAAGTAAAAAACGGCACTTGGTATGGCATTTTGGCAACCTAAGGAAGTATAATAAAATGAGAAAGAAAATTTAGAAAAATAAATCTCAATTTTACACATGTTTGGTCGAACCTACAAGGGTGTAGGGGAGGTTTTGACGTTTTTCGCGTTTTGATAGAATTGTCGTGTACTGATGATTCGTACATGGTTGTTGTAGGTTGCCGTACGTTGATTTGAACCCTGAACCGTGAGTCGGTGGATTGCCCTTGGTCCTGGACCAAGTGGGATTGAGGTAAGTGATTTGAATCATGCTTGTATAACTGATAACTTACATGTATTCGTGCGAAATTTAAGTAATTGGGAATGTCCTCTTTGTAGGCATTCTGTTGAGTAACGAGCTCGGAGATTATACTGCTTGGAGCTAAGTGGAGAAACACATTGAGGTAACCTCTTGGTACTGGGGCTTGTTCCCCTTGTGTGTTTCATTATGCCCGTTGAGGTGATGGTAGGAAGTGTATATGAGTAGTGTAGAATAACATGAGCATGCATGTAGTATTTATGAGGGTACTTATGTACCGAGTCTCTAGCCAGTAAACAGTGTAGCCTTCGGGCAGTTCGGACTTCCACTGGATAGGTCTCCGAGAGGGAGTTCCAATTGACCCAGGGTCGTGGTGTGTGATCCGGATAGGAGCACACTAGGAAGTCTCGGGTGTATGCGAATGGGAGGGGTACCTTGGTTAGTTGTTCTTGGAACACGCCTTGGATGAGACCCATAGGCTTATATGCCGAGGACGTTACGTGGTATTGGTGCTACCATTCCCGCTTCGTCGTATTTTGTATTCCTATATTCCCTAGTTTATTTAAATCCCTTGCTTTATCCCGTTTTGAAAAGTGGTTATTTTATATTATTTATATGCATCGAAGTGAGCCATTGGGCAGAGTTTTCTCCAGAACCTCTGAGTTACTGAGATATATTCGTATATCTCACCCCGTCTTGGGGGCTTTATTTCAAGAGGTAACAGTGGTACGGGAGCGGCGGGCAAGAAGCCCATAGGATGAGTCATTGGAAGACTTGCATTTTTTGTATTTTGATGGCCATGTGTGGCCTAGGCTAGACTTAGGGCATGAACATTCCATATGTATGAAGGATGAGTTTCATAGTCATATTTGTTCATGTCATTTTGCCTAAGTCTAGTTAGTTGTATATGTCTTTTAAGCCTTATGTTTCAAGTGTAATTTAAAGTTTGAAGTTGTAAGTTGTAATATGTAAGTCAAATGTTGTAATTCTACAATGGATACATGATGTACTATGATGGAAGGGCTTTAGGCCTATTTTAGGTTTATGATTAATTGTATGTTGAGAATTTGCATGTAAATAGACTTTGGCGATTGAAACAAGTTAAGGATTTATAAAGTGAGTCATATGGTATGAACTGTGTAATAAATATAAACTGAGTTGGTTGTAAGTGCCCCAAGGTATTGTTGGTCCTTGTGTGTGCCACCCATTGGTTATTAGGTACATTTGAGGTACTAGAGAGCATTTGCAAATTTGGGGATTCTAGGAAAAATAAAGGAAACTCTAGCGAAT